CAAAGAGCAAACCAACCCACCCCCACAGTAGATCACACAGTGGGACAAATATCTGTCTGATCAAGCCCTCAGTCTTCAAGAGGCCTTGAGAGTTTGTTATTTATCACCCGCACCAAAAAAAAATTTTTTTCTGTCCCCATCTTTATATACAGGTTCAACAGTTTGTAGCATTTAATTTTAAAAAACAAAACAAAACCTGCAAACCTCCAAAACTTTTCATTTTGGTAATTAATAAAAAATTGGGAACCTGCTGTGTTACTTTAAAAAAAAGGACTATAATATAACTAGATAATTTATGGAAGGGGGCTTGGATCTGTAACAGTAACTTTTTAAATGTAACGTTATTTATTTATTTATTTATTTTATTTAAAATATTTTAACCCCGCTTTTCTTCTTTAAAAGACCCAAGGCGACTTTCCAAACTTCGCGTTCAGGCTTACTACTTGAAATCACTTTAAGTAGAGTACCATTGTTTAATCTGGAAGAGGTCTGGAGACCACCATGTATGGCGGGATACAGATCTGGAGCATTATGCTAGTTGATCAAGGCAGGCTTACACAGTGTGTCTGGCATAGCCAATCTTGCAAGACAAGTTTGAATGGCATTTTTTCATTGCAACACCCTTTTGCATTAGCAGATGGCAAGAGCCACAAGGGAAGCCCCATTTCTGCTTGCTAATCCATCTCTCTGCTTTGGCAATGAGGTCTTTAACATGGCTTTGCTAATCTGCCACATTGCAAGTGTAAGCACAGCTAGTACGTGCCTCTTGATGGGCCTACATGCATATTATATGGAGATTTGTTGAGATTTGCCTTAGATTATCCATTCCCTCCTTCCCTTCTCCACATACACACGTTTAAATTTTACCTGAAAAGAGGTTCTGTCTCTCTGTAACAAATTTCTCAAGCCCATGTATAGGAGCCTTGCCAGCACCCACTCCAGTTGTCTAAGTTCAGGTATAGTGGGAGGACAGGAAAGGAGGGGATGGGATCTTTCTTCATCATGAATATCGATCAGAACTAGAGACATGGTTGGTGAGGCAAGAGAGGAAATGTTTACAAACTGTCACTCCTCTGATACAGGCTTTGAAGAGACTCAAGAGTTCATTTCCAATCCAGCAATGAATGACCTTTCATGACTACAACTGTCTCAGTAGTCCTTGACTGTACTGGTCTAGATGAATGGGAGGCAGCTTGTGACTCTCCAGATGTTGCAGGACTGTAATTCCCATCAGACATAGCCAAAGCAGCCAGAGTTAAAGGAGGTTGGGAATTGTAGTTCAACAGAAATAAAAGCAACAAGTTACCCAGTGCTAGGCTACAGTGATATAATACAGACAATGTCCATTTCAAATACTGTACATCACAGTATATTTTCTTCAGTCTCTTTGTATACTTTAGTTTTTTCCTTTTTAAAAAAGACTTAAGCACAGTAAGGGCTGAATTTAAAAAAAAACAATGTTTTTATGCATCAGTATCTCAACTATCATCATGTGAAAAGGAGCTGTTTCTATTAATGGTTCTTGAATTGACTTAGTGTTCTTGTGATGGGTAGGTGCTGTCAAATCGGTCATGATCAGCATCCACGTGCTTATAAAAGCTGAGGTTAGTGGTTGCCTACTTTAAATTTAGATCATTCCTCTCCTCCATCCCCATTCCTCATTTCCTTATTTGCTTTTGTATGTATCTGAAAGATACACTAGAAGTTATAAAAACAGCTTCATCTCTTCTGGGATTATTCCAGCCAGAGTACTGGTAAAACATGACACTATTTCTGCAGGCTCTAGGAGGACCAGAATGATTTTCCTTCATTGTTTAAACCTTCATCCAGAGAGTGCCAGTGGTTTTGTCAAGTGTATAATGTTTCAGCCATTCTCTGCCCTTATTCTGCTATCAGTGTTTCCCCTAACATAAAGTAGTTTTCCTACCCATGAACCAGCAAATTTCCTATATCAGATATTTAAATATATACTCCTATTTTCCTCAATCCAGGATAGAACAGGGGTGTTAATAAAGATAGTAGAAAATAATATAACATGTAATTTTATAATTTTTAAAATATAATTTTAATATTCCAGTGCAATTAAAATACATATAGATTAATAATAGATGTCAGGGACGTGGTGGCGCTGTGGGCTAAACCGCAGAAGCCTGTGCTGCAGGGTCAGAAGACCAAGCAGTCGTCAGATTGAATCCACGCGACGGAGTGAGCGCCCGTTGCTTGTCCCAGCTCCCGCCAACCTAGCGGTTCGAAAGCATGCAAATGCGAGTAGATAAATAGGTACCATCTCGGTGGGAAGGTAAACAGCGTTCCGTGTCTAAATCACACTGGCCATGTGACCACGGAAAGATTGTCTTCGGACAAACGCTGGCTCTATGGCTTGAAGAGCGGGATGAGCGCCGCCCCCTAGAGTCGGACACGACTGGACAAAAAATTGTCAAGGGGAACCTTTACCTTTTACCTTTAATAATAGATGCTAAAAACAAGGCTTAACAGCATAATCCCAGCCTTTAAAAAAGCCCTGAAATAGTAAATCCAACAAAGAGTCTTGTGGCACCTTAAAGGCTAACAAATTTGGTATACTGTATATGTTCTTGTGAACTGAAGCCCACTCCTTCATATTCAGCTTGTCTGTAATCATAAAACACTAGACAAATAAAATATGTTACTCTTTAAAGTACCACAAAACTCTTTGTTAGGTTTGCTGCAGCAGATGAACATATCTGTTCCTCTGGAAAACAGTTGGAATAATATGGAAGGTATTCACCTTTTCTCTGAGAAGATGAGGTGACACGCTGCAACATACACACCTCATTTTCTCTTCACAAGACACTTGTCAGGTAGGCAGAGAGACATGATGACAGCCCCTTAGTTACTCAGCAAGCTTCAGAGCTGATCAAGTTTTGAGTCTTCATCTCCACAAATTCTGGTCTGTTACTCTAATCAATGCAGAACCTAGCTGCAATCCAAGCTCAAGGACAACACAGATGTTGTTGGACTCGTAACAATATCTCATCCCTGATCACTGGCTAGTCCTGCCTGGAGATGTTAGGAATTGGAATCTAAAAACATCTGGACAGCCCATCCTTGCTGTTACAGTACATTGGCTGTATGCATAAGAGCTCTGTTACTAACATGTAGGTCTTCAGACCACTCACCTTTGGTGATGCATCTTCCATGCATCTTTTTCAAAAAGCAAATGAACCTTTGAGTTCATATAATGTGTTCCACACACTGTATACGGTTTGCAGGCCCCATTTCTGACTGGACTGTGTGCACGATTGAATACTGTGCATCAAGACTACAAATATTCACAGGCATAATTGCCCTTGCTGATTCAACACTTACTGCATAATACCTTACAGATAGAAGAACTCGAAAAAGTAGTTTTGGGGACTTCCAGCCCCATAATCCATGCCAACAGCCCCATCAAAGTCAGAAAGCTGTATGTTATGGGAGTTGTTGTCCCAAAATAGAACTTTCCAAAATGTTGGCAGATGGTTCGTGAACATCAATTTGGAATGTACCAGGCACCTCTGGTGAACAGAGTCAGGGCCTTCTTTCCCCCTTCCAAACTTTATCAGCACAGTCAAAGTTTGCAACACCAAGCATTTGTTTGGTTAGGAGTACCTATAGAGCAGTGTGCGAATCAGTGGAATGGGGCTTTGGAGTAAAAGGGATGGTGATGCAGATTGTGAACATCTGGATTTCAGTCCTCTGTCGGTCATTAATATCTAAGACCTAGTGATTTTAATCTCACCTTTGATGAAAAGCAATTTCAGCTGGCTCTCTGTTGCAAGATTTCCTCTATTTCATCAAGCTGAGTTTTGCTTTTTGCATTACAAGCATTCCTCCTGGATCTCGAAGACAAACTGGAGATAGGAGACAGGCTGCACTCAACCACTATTGGTTTCTTTATTCAAAAGTGAGGGTGGGAAGTGCAGAACAGATATTTTGACTGCTGCATCCTTTCTTTTATTTAGAGTACAAAAATTTAGAATGTATAACATCCAATGATGTTTCTTTAGGAAGAGCTGTACAAAGGATAATTGAGTAGGCATGGCAGTGTACCAGTGTCGGGTTGTTGTGTTTTTTTTCAAAGTCAGAAAGCTGTATGTTGCCCTGTCTTGCCCCACAGTCATCTTACAATGCATCCATCTGTGCCTACCATCAGAAGGGCTCGGTCCAGTTATCCAAAGCCACACAGTAATTGCTCATGTCTTATTCATTCCATGGGTGGGTAGCAATCATTCCTAAATTAATGTTGTTGGTTTTAGAAAGTATGGTTATGTAAGTCCTCTGCACCCCCTCCATTGACTACAGTGGTGCCCCGCATGACGATGATAATCCGTCCCATAGAAATAGCTGTTTAGCGCAGTCATCGTCATGTGAAAACCATTTCCCCATTAGAATGCATTGAAACCCGTTTAATGTGTTCCAATGGGGAAAACATCTTATCGTTTTGCGAAGATCACCCATAGGGCAGCCATTTTGCGAAGCGCCCATCAGCTGTTAAAATGGCTGTCCTGCGAAGCATAAGTCCCAAAAACAGAGCAGCCATTTTGCGAAGCCACTGATCAGCTGTAGAAATTGTTGTCTTGCGAATAAACGGTCCGCGAAGCATGGACCAAATCATCATCAAGCGAAAATCGCCCATTGGAATGACTGTTTTGTGAATCGCTATAGCGATCGCAAAAAGTCATCGTTATGCAAATTCGTCATTTAGCGGGGTCATCATCTAGCGAGGTACCACTGTATTCCTCAGTTTCCCCATTTCCAATCGCCAACTTAAATTTATTAGTAAATCATCTGAAATAAGAATTTTTCTCACATTCTTCATTAAAGAGCATTATTCTTTAAGAGCACTACCTTTGATTTCACAGAAGCAGGATTACTTCCTGCATGAGGTATATAAATAATATTGTTGGCATTCACAGGAACCTTCAGTGACAGCATGAAAAGCCTGACGTAATGTTCCAATTATATTTCCTATCCCTTAGGCAATGATAGCCTGCTACCCTGGGAACGGAACTGGCTATGTGCGTCACGTAGACAACCCCAATGGTGATGGACGCTGTATCACCTGCATTTATTACCTGAACAAGAACTGGGACTCAAAGGTACGTAGACTGTGTACAGGGCTGCTTGACGAGCCCCAGCTCCCTCCCTCCCTGCCATCTTACCCTCCACCCATCTCTCTCTCTCTCTCTCTCTCTCTCTGATCCTGCAGTCCTCCCCTCCCCCCTCCCATTGCAAAAGGAAAACTGCCCCCTTCTTGCAAGAAGAGTGAGTGTTTGAGCGGCACATAGAGAATGTAGAGTAGTCCCATGCTGGAGATTCGAGCGGCACATAGATACATAGCTTTGCAGGAGAATGGAGAGTAGTCCCATGCTGGAGAATATGGCAAGTCTGTGCTCCCAATTTCAACCAAATAAGGACACATCCTGGGATGGGAGGGAACTGTGGCTCCTTAAGAGGCCAGGCACTTTTGCTTTCAGTTTTATTTTTGCTGGAGACATTCAAAAGAAAGGCATTCAAAATACAAGCATCATGACCCCACAGGCATGCAGGTAATAAAGCAACCCAAGTCTGAGGGCTATACTGTATTTATTTTGGTTTTGTACACATTGTTATGTAGAAATAAAAGTGAACAAGTGCCTAGTTTAAATTTGTTAAAATAAATTGTAAGGCTATAGTCCAGTCATGCTGACTGGTGAAATTTTTGACGGATTGGTGAGACATTCTAAAATTTGTTTCAAGCCCTGACTATGTAGCTGGGGATTCTGGAAGTTGTAGTCTAAAACACTAGTTCTTAACCTTGGGTTACTCAGGAGTTTTGGACTGCAACTCCCAGAAGCCTTCACCACCAGCTGTCCTGGCTGGGGTTTCTGGGAGTTGCAGTTCAAAAGCATCCGAGTAACAAAGGTTAAGAACCACTGGTCTAAAATGTAGCTTTTTTGAAAGCACTATGTACATCTGATAACAGCACTGTTGCTGCTGGAAATCTAGCCATTGGGTTGGATCAAACATTTTTTGCTCTGGCAACAGAGGTTGGCTCAGAATAGCTCCATCCATGGAAAGAGACAGTGATCTTTCCTTGGATGCTATTATCTCCCACTGTTTCAGAGGGTGCCCCAGCCCTTCAGAGCAAGTGTTCTGAGAAGATGCAGAGCGGCTGCAGGGGAAAGGGGAATCACACCGCCCAGTGTGTCTGCTGGCTGTATCAGATGTCTTCCAGGGGCAGAAGGAGCCATTTCATCCACCTAAAGGATGGGTGATGGATCCAAGCCACTATTTATAGTCAGCAGATTGGGAGCATGAAGCAAATAGTCTTTCTTTTAGGGTTATATTTATTTTCATTTGACACACTACTCCTTGAAGACAGGTGCATTGTTCTTAAGTTCTGGGCAGCTGGTATGGCAATTGTTTAAAAAGATTGATAATTAGGTCTTTGACTCAAGAAAACAAAGGATGTTGGCAAAGAAAGGCTTGGACTCTTAACAGCTGAAAGAGCTCAAATGAAGAATGACAGGATAGTTTGTGGTTCTCTCATTCTTTGAACTTCCCCTCCATCCCATGAAACAACCTTTAAAAAGGAATGCTGAAGGAACATTGTTCCTCCAGGGGTTTGTTGTTGTTTTGCAGTGTTATTCATTTAGCAAGCTGTATTTATATCCTTCCATTTCAAAGTGCCAAATGCACCTCTCTTCCACTTATTCTAATGAATAATCAGAATTTTTTAACAGTTTAAATTTTGAAAATATTTTTAAATTTTAAATTGTGATTTAAATCAATCAGATTTTTAAAAATCATTCACCGTGGCTCCTGGTCATCTAGATTTCTATTTAGCTGTGTTTCAGCTTGTTCTACCTGTCTCAAGTTATAACTGCACACAAAAGAATTGTATTTGCAAACACACTTGAAATATATTGGTATGATGCACTTGAAGAGAAAGAAGTTTGCATTCTACTCTTAGGGTTGCTATCTGTCAAAAACATTGCTCTTCAAAGTCCTGAATTTATAGGAGGTAGGTGAGCCTACCCTTAACATGAACATCTATTCCCACAGATGCCTAGGAAATCTGAGCATTTGTCTTTATATGGTACAATAGAATCCTCAAAGTCTGTTGGCTGCTATTTCCATTTTGAATAAATAAATCAAAGGAAATTAGCTTCTGCCTTCTGAGGACTTTATTGCAATTTAGAAGCTTCCATATCAATTGAGTTTCCATATCAGTTAATTCCCTAAAATAATTTTAAAATGTATGTCTTAGACACATTTTCACATTTACAAATTATATATTCTATTTTATAGATACATTCATCAGGGAGCCATAATTGGCCCCAACTCCTTGGTTGGATGTGAATTTGGGGTAAACACAGGCTTGTCTGGGAAACTTATAAGTGTCCATTAAGTATCTGTAAACTCCACGGTCGACATGTGGCAAAGGCTTCTGAGCCCTTCCTGCTGCTCATGGTTCACTGCGACTGTGAAGCCAAAGATTACTTCGAAATCTGCCTTTAGATTCCTGGGCCTAAATCCAGATGGTGGCCCCAGGCCCATTCATGTCTGTAAAAGGGATAACAATATGATGGTGTCTCAAAAATGGATTATATTTGGTAGCATGACAGACCCATTAAATCAATTGCGGAATGGTAAGTCAATGCTTTTATATCTGTGTAAATCCTGTTGATTCAGTGGCAACTTTAGTTGGAACTAGCAATTAGGTCTAGGCCCTGGTTTTGGTGTAGGCACAATGTAATACTCCTGATGCTTTTAGCCTACCTTGACTTTTTAGCTGTGCTGGCTATGGCTGATTGGAGTAGTAAGCCAGAACAACTGGAAAGTCCACCATGGTTAGATAAAGGTATCTGCCTTTTCAGTTAACTTTTCTCTCTTCCACTGCAAAATGAAGCTTTGTACTATAGTTTTAATCAGTTGCCCTGTGCATTTACCTCAGTGCCTCCTGTATAACTGTAATCAAACCAAGGTTTTAGTCTAAATAAATTAGACGTGTGTAACAACATATCAGACAGCGAGGAACCTTTTTTTAAAAAGCATATACAAATGGTAGGCCACATGGAAGTTTATGACAAATCTTTTCTGAGGAGCATGCAACACTGTGGCCTGAAGGCTTGGCAAAAGATTTCCCACTCCCATCAATAACACTTGGAAAAAGTTGCTTTACTTTTTTTTTTGGTACTGCAACTCCCAATGGCCATGCTGGTGAGTGGAGGATTCTATAAGTTACAGTGCCAAAAAAATGGGAAGGAAAGAAAGTTTGTTTCCAAGCTTTGATTAACAATTTACTCATTTTTAGAAAATAAATTGTTATGAAGTACCATAGCTGCAATGAAACAATTAAAGTAGAAAAGATAAATTGTAAACAGGCATTCTATTAAAGAATTTTTTAAGCTGATTTATTAAATTCCTTTCTATTTTTTTGTATCTGTCATGCTACCAAATCTAATTCATCTTTGAGATACCATCATATCATTATCTCCTTGACATTCAATCATAGAGAGTTTAGAATTTCTAACTCCAATTCCAGTACAAAGAAGGTGGGGGGGGGCTGTCAGTTCTTAGAACTCCTTTTCCCTGTGTGCTTTTTTGCCCACACACTTTTTCCAGCAATACATTTGCTTTTGTTTTACACAGAAAACAATTTAGGCTTCTACCAGGAGCGTGTTTGTATGACAGTATCAGGCAGTGTTAAGTGCTGCTTTGTTGGTAGAAACAGAGGTACATCAGCAGGAAAACATGCTGCCAGATGTCCCACCACACATCAGGAGGAATCTTCCTTCAACTAGCATGTGTGTTCTGCCCAGAGTGTTCCACCAGCAGAGCAAAGCGAAAGGGGGAGTTGACAGAAGCACGGCTTCACCCTGTCCCAGAGCTTGGAAGAGTACAACTGTTTTGGATTGTGGCTGTTAAAATTCCCAGCTAGAATGACCAGAGGACACACTAACTATGGGATTCTGGTAGTTACATTTTTAAAAGAAGGTTTGCCAAGCTGTGGACCATCAAAAGCCCTTTAATTTTACAGCACATCTGTAATGACAATGCAACCTTATACTGGGACTGGAGTTTCGTTTAGTGAATTCTTTCCAATTGTTGATAATGAAAAGGAGAAACCTGCCATCCATCCCCCGCCCTGCTCACAACAAAGCAGGAGGGCAGTGGACATGGTGGTGATGTTCTGTCAGCAGGTGTTGTCTCCCCATTCCATGCAAATATGTGGAAGGAATCCCTGGTGTTCTGTCAGCAGGTGTTGTCTCCCTATCCCATGCAAATATGTGGAAGGAATCCCTGTAAATATCTCTTTTTATCTAATTTCTTACGTGGTTAAGAAGATAAGCAAACTTAAAATGTATTTTTGAATCACCCTCAGTTAAAATGAACACTTTTTCTCTATTCAAGCTGCATGGCGGAATTCTACGAATATTCCCAGAAGGAAAGTCCTATGTAGCAGATGTGGAACCCATATTTGACAGATTACTTTTTTTCTGGTCAGATCGAAGAAATCCACATGAAGTGCAGCCTTCCTATGCAACAAGGTAAAGAAAATGTTGGTGGGTTGTTGTTTGCATGTGTACCAAGAAACAAAACTTTTCACCTAACGATAGGTGCAGAATATTCTGAGTTCAATCCCCAGCATCTCCAGTTAAATGAACGGGAGTAGCAGATTTAGGAAGGAGCTACTCTTCCTAACTGAGATCTGGAGTGTTGCTTTCTATCAAGCTTGGAATCTGGTTGCTGGATGAATTTGAACTATTTGGGCAATGTTCTAGCCAGATTATTTTGAGTTGGTCAGGAGCAGACCTTGGAAAAATTACTTTTTGGACTACAACTTCTAGTATCCCCAAGCAAGCATGGTCTCTGGATTCTGGGAGTTGTTATCTGTAAAGTATCCTTTCCTACATCTAATCAGGGAGTTTTACTGAAAAAAGGGAGAATATATGTCCCGTTTAGACGGTGAGAAGTTTTATGGGTTTAATGTTAAAACACTTCTTGATTTATTATTGTTTGTTCCTTTTCAATAAGAGGCGAATATATGTCCCGTTTAGATGGTGAGAAGTTTTATGGATTTAATGTTAAAACACTTATTGATTTATTATTGTTTGTTCCTTTTCAATCTTACCTCTTTTCTACTGACATCTTCTTTTGAGGAGATGACCCTCAGGTATTCAAATTTAAGGGTAAAAAATAAATAAAAGCAAAAGCAAGCTATTGCAGAATAAGTGCACTAAATTGAAGACTTGCTGATTGGCACCCGTAGCACTGCAAATGGGCATGCAAATGCTTGGCTTTATATAAAATGTTATGCAAGTTAATATTGACCTGCTGATTTAACAGATGTTTCCTTTATGGTGCAGAACATACTGTCAGGGTCTGATGCTGGTTTAACATATGTTTCCTTTATGGTTCTGGATGCAGAACATACTGTCAGGGTCTGATGCTGGGAGATTTTCATAAGCAATCGATGCCTGATACGTGCAAACAAAAAGTAACCTAATGGATTCTTTTCATGCAGGAAGAGAAGCCTTTGGTCCTCCAGATCTTTTAGAATCCAGGTTCCATAACCCTTTACCATTGGCCATGCTGTGTAGGGCAGTGGTTCTTAACCTTTGTTACTCAGATGCTTTTGAACTGCAACTCCCAGAAACCCCAGCCAGCAGAGCTGATGGTGAAAGCTTCTGGGAGTTGCAGTCCAAAAACATCTGAGTAACAAAGGTTAAGAACCAGTGGTGTAGAGCTGATGAATCTTGTAGACCAAAACATCTGGAGGGTGAAAAGTTCCTCAAACTTGCTTTAAACAGAATCCCATAAAAGCTGGATCCAGATAGCAAACCAGGAATGATAACTTTGCATAGAAATCCAGAGGGTTTTTTTGTTTTTTTTCTTTTGTTTTTTTGTGTGTTTTGTTTTGTTTTTCTGTTTGTTTTGGGCTGTTGAACATATTTGTAAAATGTGGGCATTGCTTAGACACATGCACCCCCTTGTTACAAACCTGGAGCCCTGTGCATGCTGCAGCTGAGGGCACATTTATGCAATAATACGCAAGCAATGCCTGGCACCTTGGGAGCTTTGCTTTAGATATTGTGCAATAGTTGGCTGTAGCCGAACATTTTCATGCTCTAGAATATAGCCCCATAATACCTAGAGAAAACTTAGGTAAGTATCTGTGTGCTTTGTTAATCTCTGGAGGTGCCTGTAACTGGAGAGAAAAGAAGGCATAAAACTCAGCTATATTTGCCTGACTATTTATGTCTGTGTGCTTTGCATGCAAATGAACAGAGTTACGATGTGCATGCCTAGACTGTCACCTACTGACCAATTTGGTGGTTTAGTAATAAATGTCTTAAGGCAGCAGTAAATTACTCTTTCTGGTGTGAAGCCTAGCATTCTGCTCTCACTTGAGTAGCATTCAGAGATTAAATTGCATTCCTCTCCTTCACAGATATGCAATGACTGTGTGGTATTTTGATGCTGAAGAAAGAGCAGAAGCCAAAAAGAAATTCAGGAATTTAGTTGGTATGATCATTTTATTTACTATCTTATCTAATCTGTAGAAGTGTGTCTATCATGGTATATTAAGACTGCCACAAAATTCAATTATGCAGGGAGACGCCCATGGCTTGATCCAGGAATGCTGTCCACTTGTGGAAACAGGTTTCTACAGACAGATGCACTGCTGAATATGCAGGATCCTGCAGCATGTAATTGGATAGTGCTTGAGAAAGACAACACCTTCACCTTGCATGAGCCTTCACCTCACCCATGCAGTAGCTTTTCTGTAGGATCAGACTGTTTAGAAACAGCTGCGTGCCAACAACATTCTGCTGTGTGTGCCAGTTCTCTTGAGTGGGTACTGGTTTTGCAGTAGTTCAGAGAAAAACCATTTCTTTAAAGGTTCAGAATACATATTCTAAGGAGGTCATGGCTGCTGCTGCACTGCAATATGTTATATGTGGGGCTGCGATGAAAATAGTTCAGAAGTTCCAGATAGTTTAAAATAAGTTACCTCAGTGGAGGCATGTTACACCATTTGCGAAACCATTGCGTTGCCCAGAGAGAGGGTCTGGCCTGCAAGGATCTGGAGGAATGTTTCTTTCATATAATCTTGCCCACACTTGTAACATGCTTCATATGCTGTGCATCTGTAAAAGGAAAGGCCCTGTCTGTCTCCGGGATGCCCCCTACTAAGGGACTAATTCTGTATTATTTTCACAAGCAAACTGAAATGGTCATTATTTGTCCAGTCATTTTGAGAAGAATGTTGTATGGTTTTTAATTCCTCTTTCTTTTTTCCTTTACATTTCCTTACATTCTTTTTATAATTTTATGTGTACTTACCTAGAATCAGCATTGGCAAAGAAAGGAGTGGTCTAAAAATTACTTAAATAAATCTGAGCTTGGAAATGTTATCTTTTTGACTATAGTTCTTAGGAGCACCCCTCCCATCTGCCGCCAAAACTAACATTTCCAAAACCTTAAATGAATGAATGAATGAATGAACGATACACTTAATGTTTGAGCTTGTGAGCTTTTTATATATTTACTCCCAATCCTGTTTCTGACATTTAATCATGTCAATTTTGCATTGCAGATGCAGGGAAGACAGAAGCTGTTCTAAATGAAGACTGAGTATTGGTTTACTTGATGCAATTATTTTTGTAGTGATAATTTTGAGACTGTTTGCAAGCAATAAGATCCAAAGGCAACATGATCTGTTTTCCAGTGATTCTTGGACATTCTTCTTACTTGCAGAAATGCACTTTTTTTGGCACTCTCTTAGTATTTGCATATTACAGCAATGGTACTCATGGTGGCTTTATTATCACGGCTCTTTGGCATAAAGCACCCATTTTCTGTTTGCCTTTAATTGAAGAATTACGACCCACGGTTTTAGACAGTGAAGAATATCATCAAGCTTCCCACTTATCTCAAGGCCAAGTTTGGCAATACTGGTAATAAAAATACTAAGCACTCGAAAGAGTTGGGGAATCCTGAGTCTTATTTGCACTTTATTTACAAGGGTCTAGTTCCATGTCCTTTACAGAAGATGCCCTGTGGCCGACTGCAGCTTGGCAACCCAAGCAATCAGAGATGCAAAATGGAATGGGCCATGTGTCAAGAGCTGAGGTGGTTATGTTCAGCGTGGGGCCTTTGATGGGCTGCCTCATCACTTTGCTGCACAGACAATTGGCTTCACTGACCTCTACATTAATTTCTGAAAAAAGGGAGAAGCCGCCGACTCTGCCCGTATTGCTAAAGCCAAGCAGCAGCAGTTCCATCGTTTTGCTTTTTAGAGCCTCTGAACAGAGATGGAGGCAGTCTTGCAGCTGTCCACAGTTTTGTGGGAAACATTTTCTTTCCGGAGTGTGGTGGATCTGTGTATGGTTTGGTGTTTTGTTTGTTTTTAATTTTAAAAGACCAACAACTTTGTTTTTCAAAGCATCCAACCCCATCAATTCCTGCTCACATTTTTAGACTTGGTTGGCAGGAAAGGTGAGGAAATGAAATGCTCGTATGCCAAGGATTCATCTAGTCAAGCTTTACTTTTATTTTATTTTTTTCCACTAATCTTCCACCAGCCATACTTTGTTGGACAGAAAGGAATTCTGGTTGCTCAGATGTATATGTGTTAAAGTGGTCAAATGTATGATAGATCATTGTGGCCTACTAAGAGACATAAGTTGCAACTCTGAATCTGTTCAAATTTGTGATTCACTCTACAGTCATGAATGGGAATAATTTACATGGGTATAAGTCCTATTGAACCCAGTGACACTTATTTCCAAGGAGATATATACAGGCTTTTACTGTAAATTTCTGAAGTGATAGGAACGGGGCTATCATTGTATACCTGAATCTCAGTCCTAACATCTGTTTGTGCATCCCTGAGAAAGTGTGTTCAGTACTAGACAAACAAAAGAGCCTTAAAGATAATAGATTTATTTTAGTATGCATTTACATGGTTTATAATCCACTTCTTCACATGCACAAAACACAGTAGTCAAGCCACAGTTTTCTTTCCTCAAGGGTTATGTTTAGACCTTTGGTCTAGATGGGTGGGATAGAAATCTAATAAAATAAAATATGTTTACGAGGGTAAAATCCGATCAGGACGGTTTATCTTAAAAGTGCCACAAGACTGTCATTCTTTTTTTGCTATACTGACACAGACAAACAAGATGATATATTTGGAAGTTATGCAGAGTATTGAAGATGTACAATTCAATTGTGAGATTTGCTGCCCCTGCAAAATGTCAAACTGGAAGTACCTATTTTACTTAAATAATTATTATAAAGCGTGGCCTTGTAGTCCCACCATGAAAATGATTCATAGTCTGCAATGGAAGTCCCACTGGGATATGTTTCTTCATATAGTTTTATGTTGATGTAGATGTAACTGACTGAGGGGCAGGATAGAACCATACCTTTTTAAAAGTTACTATAGTTACCAGAATGCACCAGCCAGCATGGAACTGTAGTCCAAAAAATGATTTTCTCAAATATGGAAGGGAAATTGCTGTACCCTAAGTGTGACATTACACATTAAGTATTTCCTTTCTACATTGAGCTATGAGTTGTGCAGAGGAAGAATTTGAAAAAGTAAAGGAGCATATAAATAAAAGTAGATAGGTAAATAAATAAATAAATAAGCACACATCCTGGTTTTAATTTTTTTTAAAAAAAGAATTAGTAATTTTTATCATGTTAGTAATAGAAATTTGATCATGGGTCATGTGTAGAATGGGAGATACAGTGGTTATTATTTTCAGCAAAATGTATAATGCAAATATCCTGTCAGGATAAATTCATTCTGTTTATTGGTATCTCTTGTGATGCTATGAACATGATATCAGAAATTCTCTTCTGTTCTTCCAGTATGCATGCAATTTTCAGTGTTCCATATCTTACCAGTAGCTTAACTGACTTTGACAATTCCTCTTTTATCTTATTGGTACTAACCATCCTTTCTTCCGGCCAATTTCTCTCCTCCTCTTCCCCTTTGTAAGTGAATGGTTTATCTTTTTATCCCTTACATCTGCACAAGCTGGTGGCTAGGCCAAAACCTGAGCCAGAGAACAAAACAAATACGTTGGCCTTATCCAAAGATCAGAAAAGTTATCATTTTGAGCCACAAATTACAGAATATTACCCCGTCAATATTTTGACCCTGTCTAGCCTTCACATATTCCTGTTTGAGAATAGGGCATTGCAGCATTTTAGAAGCAACACATTTCATAACTAAGTGGGAATTGCTTATTCCAGAAAAGAGGACTCTTACTGCCTGCACTGATGTCTGAATTTTAAGCTGGTTCTGAATTAATTTATTTCTTCTCAGCTTTTTACTCAGTGGCTTCAGTTTGGTCACATAGCTTTACAATTTGGAGAGATCGCTGTGTGACATCAACATACAAGTCCCTTTTCATGTTAGGAAGATGATTGGCACCAATTACTGTAGACTCCAAGGCATAGAAGCCGGTTGATGCCATTTGTTCAGTGACTAAATCAAACATTTCTCATTCCCTCCCCCAACTACTCTTGTAAGCCATACCTAAATAGTTACATTCTCTGCATGTCATCCTACATATATCTGCACCAGCATTAGAAGCTAACTTTGTTGACCCCCTTTCACTTGACAAACTTTCCTTTTGGATTGTATCTAACGATGGCTTTCCACTCATACAAGGCTCTTTGAACCAGTATGAAAAAAAGCTGCCTTTCAGTGCCTTCGACTGTTGGTCCATCCTGATCTGTGTTGTCAACTGTGAGTAGCTGCAGATCCCCAGAGTTTCAAGGAGTATTCTTTCCTAGGCCTACCCAGAGACCCTTGGTCATTCCCAGTGGTCTCCGATCCAAATATCAGCCTAGGTTCGTATCTGCTTACCTTCTAACTTCCGATGAGGGCTATACAGTATGTTCAGAGGGTATGATAGAGACTTTGTTCAGTTGTGTGGGGGAGGCAAGAATAGGATGCTTCGTTTGTCCTCTTTACCCCATCTTGAGCTGGTCTACAATTTATGTTCCCCCAAGCAACATAGGGTATTTTCTTGGGTGGCAGGAGGAATTTGTGAAAACCACTGCCTTCCTCCTTCTACTGAAAGGAAATGCGGCTGCCTCAGAGAGCCATCAGTGAATGGAAGAACAGCACTGGATACAACCCAAAGGCCAGCAATGGGTTGCCATCCAGTATATGTGTGTGGGGGAAAAGGAAACTCTTATTCATTTCCCTGCTAGAAATGAGTCAAAGGAGACTTATTCTGCCCCTGTTTGAAGAAGTTGCTGCTAGTGGATTACATTGATCTTCCTAACTTTACTTAGACCTGGTACCTCTCCAGAGGTCTGGTCTACCCATCACTGAAACTTGGAAGGCTGCTCCTGAGATTCCAGTCTCCTTTTTCTCCCCCAGGGGCTTTTTTTCATTGAAAAACCACGTGTCCTTAAGTCACCCATTTTTAAAAATTTGGTTTTTAGATTTTGGAGGGGAGGGGCTCCAAATGGCAAAGCAGCCCCTCACACCCTGAGAGGGTTGAAGTAGGATTTTTTGAGTCCAACATATTTTTCTATTTTTTTAAAATAGGCTGCCCACCCTCAATCTGGAAACAAATTAAAAAGTTGAAGTACAGCAGAATAATACTGCTTTTCAACAACCGTGCATGACCTGTTGGCAGGGACAGTGTGTCTGTGTCACATGGCCATATATAAGAGGTGTGTCACCCTCTATTCATTTTTATCTGTTTCTCTTAGTCAAACAAAAACCTGCCTGCTGATTCCTTTTAAGCATTTCAGAACTTGGGAAAATATGGTTGTAAAGGTGATGGAGTGCTATTTGAATATTTCACTGCAGTTATATTTATGCAATATTTGCAATACTTTTCAGAGTTTGTAAAAGAACATGTAAAGTGTTTTGAATGGTTCTGAGTTTAGTTCCAGTGAGTGGGCTATTATGAAAGTGTGATAACTGTTCCAGTGAAACAACTGGCTGAACAGAAAATGTTGGGCTAATATTCTTTCTTTTTTTGGGGGGGGAACATAACAGCTTTTTGGTGGAGCACTCCACCCTGACCTTGCCAATCACAGACTCTTGCAGACATGCATGCTGGATACAACCCTCTTGCTTTAAATGGGGATTTGCCTGATATGAGGAGCTGCTGGAATTTAGGGTAGGAACTATGTGCAGACATGACTGTTCTGGTCATACCAGCCTTGGGTGTTGTGTTTTGTTCGTTTTTAGGGCAGGAGCGAGTAACATGGATAGGACTGGTAGCCCAAATTTTGCCATCTGCACCCTAGAAAGGGATGTGGTGGCGCTGCGGGCTAAACTGCAGAAGCCTCTGTGCTGCAAGGTCGAGCGAGTAACATGGATAGGACTGGTAGCCCAAATTTTGCCACCTGCACCCTAGAGCAGGCTCAGGAATGGTTTTTAAAATAGAAAAACTTAAAAATCTGAAGTAGCTGGAAGTCCGCATCTGATTTTGAATTGGGGGACTTCGGATCTCCCCATACGAATGAACACATCCAGGAACAGAAGAAACACATTTTTGGTCCAATTGTGGGTTTTGTTTGTTTGTGCTTTTTTTGTTTTTTTGCCCTGGGGTCATCAGAAAGCCCTCCCCTCCCCCTCTACACTACAAAAATAGCCATGAGCTATCTGCTGGCTACACTTTGCCCCACTCCGCTTTACAGAGGTAAGGTAGCAGCCGGGCTTTTCACTAACAATTGTGTCCACCAGAGGATGCCGTTGGAGACTGAAATTGGTAGGGTGATGAGAATGGAAGGACAGGTGAACTAGCTTCAGTGCCTGTAGTATTAATAAAGTGTGTGTACTAGACCCTTTGCTTTCATACTAAATTTTCTTACCTAAGGCCGAATAGATTTTATCACTTTAATCATGTTGTGACTGTCCTTGGACAGATAGAATGGCACATAAACGAGAAAGGGAGATATATTGTTACTCAATAGTATTACTCAGGATTACTCAGAGTGGCAGCATAATAATATTCTGTATCAGAAAAATAAATATATAAAAGTAGACATCTTGGTGTAAACACTGTTGGGTTTCAGCCGTTGCAATCTTCATTGATTAGTCTAATAGTTAACACAATTAAAAGAATAAAGTCTAGTAATTATCACACGAAATCTGGTTTGCACATTAAGCACACCTTACAAAAAAGCACTGTTCAAAACAAATTATGTTTGCTGTGGACTAATTATTGGGCAAGACAAGACAAAACATGCCACTACCTCTTATATAAAGATATTTCTGTGAAGAGGCCTTGTGTGTGTGTGTGTGTGTGTGTGTTTCTGTTTGTTTCAACCTCCCATCAGTTTCACTTGTTCAGAAATTTTAGCCTTGTTTCTTAATCTTATACTATTATTTGTCCTATCTCTGCTAATTAAGTAATACTGGAATTACTTTTTTGCCATAATGCATTCTAATGCATTTGCATGAAAACTGCATCTATTTATTGGCAATGCTTTTTGTTTCTTCTGGGACTTATTCCCCAACACCTGTTCCTGGAGTACATTTTGCATATAACTTCTGCCAGCTTGTATGCAGGTCATTGTTGCTGGCAAGTGGGTTGGAAACCGCAATGTACAGTGGCATTTTGCCATATACCCCACAATTTTTTTTCTTTTAAGTTGGTGGATTGAAATGAAGTATTGCAGGAGTCAATAAACACTGGGTCACATCATATTCTGTGTTGGCTTAATTTTTCCTGCAGTATTGTGTCTGTGGAGAAGGCAGAAGTATACCTTAATGTACACTGCTGGAAATATTAGTGTCACATTAATTCATTGATCATATAATAATGTGCAGTTAAGTCAATTCTGACTTACAGTGACCCTTTTCAGGGTTTTCCAGGTAAAGAGTAATTGGAAGTGATCATTCCCTTCTTTGGGGGGCATTTTGGGACTGTGCAGTTTGCTCAAGGCTTTCCCAGGAGGCACAGTACAGTAGGGAATCTCAACCACAGAATTATCCAGCCAGCTTCATAATCATCTGTTTCTCCCAGACGACTACAGGTAGACTTTGGTTAAGAGACAGGTCAGAGTGATGCTGGGGTGGGAAGGGGTGTATGTTGCCACCAAGGAAATAAGTTTAAAGAGGTGGGAGTATGGTTGAGGGGGCCATAGGAAAGTAGAAAGGAACTTCTATAGGCAGAGAGGAAATTTTT